CAAATCTTGATGAGAAAGTTTGAACTGTACTCCTACTTACCATGGTTAATTTCTCCGTTGTTACAAGGTCTTATCATAGCTAACACTGCTTTTCTGTTATGTTAATCAACTTATCCTAAGTTTTAAAAAACTTATTCAGAATCATTTTTGAGCATCAGTTTATTCTGCTGTGATGTCCTTGGTAGCTATTATGTATGTGTAACTAGTGTATGACCTCTCCACATAACTTTTATGAATTTTAGCCTCTGCTTGCAGAGTCCTTTCTTTACTCACTTTTAACCACTATTTTTAAATATCTCCTAGCTTGTCCCTTCCTCCAAAACTTGGTGTAAAACCAAAAGCTAGGTCAGTGCTGTACTTCAGACCAGGAGGCCCTTCTTGAGGGTGACTCTTCCATTGCCTTCAGTGATTCATGGTTTTTTGACAAATTTTTTTTATGGTTGCTTTTAGGTTTTTTCTCTTGTCACTCAGTAGTTGAGAGTAATATTTGTTAAATCTTTGGCCATTCTAATTTAAGATGGTAAATTTTTTTCTTTTTTCTTTTTGTCCTCTGTGATAAAGAATCACGTGAGGTTTTAAGAGGTATAAGAGTATGTATGTGTGTGATAAAACTTATAGTGTTTTGTCATTTAAAATCCATTGACTCTTGATAGGTAATAAAATATTTTTAAGCTTTATGTCATTGTGACAGTTGTGATATTTTCGAAAATAAATTTGTTTAAATATGTATTTCGGAATAACATCTGACTTTTTTTTTAACTTACATTTTTAATAAATTTTTAGAGCGGGTTAAGTGTTCAGATTTGTTTTTATACTGTTAAATAAACACTGTTACTATTTTAGATTAGTTTCTTCAGTCATATCCTGAAGTTTTGAATACCATGGACCACTAAATAGCATCTATCTTAGTAACACACCTAATTGATTTTTAACAGAACCGTAAAATATTATGCCTTCATATTATTTGGTCTGAGAAGGAAACCTATTGTAGAAGCTAGGTAAGGTGATTTCACTAGGAAATACTGGAGTTTTATATTTGGAGGCTTTCGGCCACAAATGATAGACTACCTGGCTAAATACTGGTTTCTTGCTTATATAATAATTTCATCCAGAGCAAGCTGATTTAGGGGTTGGTTAAGACAGTAATGTCAGAGCTCTGGGTGAACTTCTTTGTGAGACTCTTGGCTTCCTGCTCACGATAAAGAGATGGCTGTTGCATCCTGTAACAAACCAAAGAAAGTGGAAAGTGGACTCTCCCTTCACATTTCCTTTCTTTTTTTAATCAAGCAAAAGCATCTTTTCCAGAATCCCCACAAAACTTCTTCTGAGGTTCTCTTGGCTACAAGCGTACTCTAAACCAATCCACCAGCAAAGGTAGAATGAGAATTAGCTTTTTACTTAGATCAGTCATTGTTCATTGTCTAGCTCAAACTCTGGGATGAGAATAGAGGCTTATGATCAATTATTATACTCCATATCTGGAGAAAATCAGCATTTTCATAGGAAAGAATAGAGGGGAAATAGTTGTTTGGATAGGCCACCTAACAGAAGATTTTTGATAACCTGTAAACATTTTAAATAGCAAATTTTTGGAAAAATAAAAGTCACTCGTATGTGGAAGAAGCACTGTAAATCAAGCACGTGAAAGTCAAAAACAATTTTTAAGGTAGAGTGGTGTATATAGTAAAAAGAACAATTGAAATATAACTTGAAAGACCTAAGTACTTTTATCTTCTTAGCCTTATCAGCTATACTGCTTGAGCACATCCATTTAACTTCTTCAAGACTCAGTTTTCTTTTGTTGTAAAATGTGTGGGGTTACATTAATGGCTTTCAGGGTGTTGTCTCACCCCAAATTTAGGATGCTCTCAAAAAGTCCAAGTGAGCTTGAATGACCTCCTGCTTTTGCCCAGAAGGTTTCATTTGTATTTCTAGATTTATGTGACCGAAATAATAATAGTAATAATAGTGATGATGATGATGACAATAATATGCCTTTCCCTAGGATTTATTAGAACTTAATGCTACGTTGTGGAGCCCAAATAATTTAAAGTGAAATATTAATAACATTTCAGAGTAAAGATCTGACTTTATAAGAAAATTATTTTCTACAAGTAGAAATTATTTTTCTCTATCTACAATGATAGAAATTGGTGTTAATTAATTGTTAATTTTATTTTAGAGACAGTGATATGCTTGAACCTTTTTATGTTACTTGATTTATCTCACAAAAGAATCTTGTAAACTTGGTAAGTTAACGTTTCCATTCTACCATAGGTGACAAAACTGAAATTCAGAAAGGTTCAATGTCTCCAGGACCAGTAAGTATAGCAGAACAGGAATTTGAACTCATGTCACACTTGATGATAACTTGGGAAATAAAAAAGTAAACTAGAGAGAAGGGAATATTTTTTCTTTTGCTAATTAGTGCCATAAAGCAGCAGTTCTCACACCTTTTGGCACCAGGGACCTATGCTCCCATGAAATCTAATGCCTGATGATTTGAGGTAGAGCTGAGGCGGTGATGCTAGCACTGGGGAGTGGCTACAAATACAGATGAAATTTCATTCGCTCGCCTACCTGCCATGAAGCAATAATGATTTAAAAATAGATTTTTCCTTCTAAAAGTTATGTCCATGTTCTGTGGATGTCTACCTTTTAAACTATAGTACAAATGTGACTCTAATTTTCATGATGCCAAGTGCTGTTAGCATTGCAAATGAGTAAACACAAGCCTGCCTTAGTGCCATATATTATGGCTGGATAAAAATGTTATTCAAAATAGTATCAAACTGGAAGTAATTATAATCCAGCCAATGCTGTTTTTAGTTTTTAAAACAGAAAGACTTAGATTGAGTGATCCTTTTTTAGCTCAAAAGAGTTGACTTAAGAGCCAGTAAGTAGATCCTGCCTGTATTATATAACTTAATATTTTTTAAAATGCTGCCTTGTATATTTTACGTACTGGCTTCTGAATTTAGATGTACTTCGTTCAAAATATTTTGAGATTGGCTTTGCTAATGTAGTCTTCCAAATTATTAACATTTTAAGCTTTCAAAAATACTGGAATCATTGAAACAATGTTGATTTTATTTTTTCAGATGAAGTGCTCGGCAAATAGATACATGCACATGTATATACATGTATATCACACAAGCAGATTATTTTCATTGTCATATTTTAATATTAATAATATTAATTTTATTGTAATAATATTGTGGGCAGTTAACACAAAGTAGTAAACCCTAAGTTTACACAGGTTGTGTGAATTCCACCCACCCCCACCCTTCCCAGTGTTCTCTAGTCTTTTCTGGAACTTAGCAAGAAGTCCTCTGATCTTTAACAAATCTTTCTCACGACTACATGTTGCTTCTGCTGGCTTGCAGTATAACGTTCCTTGCTCAACTCTTAAAACTTCTTCAGTTATCTGAGATGATGTGTACTGCCTTTCCTAAAATCGTATGTATGTATATGGTCTTCTGAGCTACCAACAGAAATTGGTATTGGAGCCCACAACCCTGCAGCCCCATCTCAAGTGTACCCACTCAGCTACTGCTAGCATAACATGAAGTTGAAAGGACCAGTGAAGAAGAGAGAACCAATTCAGCTTCCACTCAGAAGAGAATTCTCTGATAGTTTTTCCATGTCTAGAAACTGCAGCTCTCTTCTATTCTTGCTAATGCTTCTAGATTCTAGCCTCAGATTTTTTAAATTTTCTTCACCAATGTTCACATTTCTCCCAAGGTCCATAAATGAGTTCTGGGTATTATGGTGGTCCTAAAACAGAGAACATACTGTCTGATGAAATCAACTAGGTTTTTGTTTTTGTTTTTGTTTTTGTTTTTAATTAAATTTATTGGGGGTAACATTGGCTAATCACATAAATTTCAGGTGTACAATTTTATAATACAACATCCATATACTCTATATTGTGTACTCCTCATTGAAGTCTAATCTCCTTATGTCACCTTGTATTTGACCCCCTTTACCCTCTCCCCCTCAGCCCCTTTCCCCTCTGGTAACCACCATTCTGTTGGTCCATATCTATGAATTTGGAACCAGCTGTTTTTGCAGCTAGAAACTGATGGTGACTTATTTTTGTATAACATTCATCTTGTTGCTTATTTAGCATTACGTGTTCTGCATCTTTTTTTCATCCCCAATATATTTTGGGAATCAGTTCATATTAGTATATAGAGAGCTTATTCATTCTTTTGTATAGTCATATAGTTTTACATTATGTGTTTATAACGATTTAACCATTCCCTTAAAGGGTATTTGGATTATTTTTAATCTTGCTAATTGACAATAAATGGGATCTTTTCACCAAGTAAACATTCTGCTTCACTGGACAAGCAAAAATTTTAGAATTTTGTATTATGATTATTAAATATATTTATCAACTCAAGGAGACTAAATATCCCCTAAGTTATTTGTTTTAGTGGACATTTATATATAAATTGGTAGGTAAATAGATGGTATTTTTATAGAAATCAAGTATCTCGTATACTTAAAAATAATCCCTGTGATTTTTATACTTACATAAAAATTAAAATGATAGTTATTTAGTATGGCAAAAATGTCATAAAGTTCTAAATTTCAGACTGAGCTGGGTTATTAATTGATCTGAAATTATTAATCTCATAGGTTTTAGCACTTCAGCCAATTTTTGTTTTATTGAGGTATAATTGACATACAGTAAATTGCATATATTTAAACTTACAGTTTTGTAAGTTTTGACATATGTATATAACTATGGAACTATCACCGCAATCCAGATAGTTAGATTCCATTTGCCCCTAACCTCTGATCTGCTTTGTGTCACGATAGATAATTTATTTTCCGGAGCTTTATATAAATGGAATTATACAATATGCGCATCTTTTGTCTAGCTTTGTTTTCACACACCATAATCATTTTGAGCTGCATCCATGTCGTGGCATGTATTAATAGTTAATTCCTTTATGTTTCTGAGTAAGTATTCCATTGTATCGATAATATATAATTTGTTTTTTTTATTCACCTACCTGTTAATAGACATTTGAGTTGTTTTCCTTTTTCATCTATTACAAATAAACCTACTATGAGCATTTGTGTAGATGTTGTTATATGAACAGACGGTTTCCTTTTTCTTGGGTAAATATATAGTGGTGGAGTGGTCAGAACACACAGTAGGTGTATGTTTAACATTTTAAGAAACTGCAGCTGTTTCCAAACTGGTCGTACCATTATACATTCCTACTAACAATAAGAGAATTCCAGTTTTTCCACATCTTCACCAATATTTGGTATGCTTAGTCTTTTCTCATGTTGAACATTCTAATAGATGTATATCTCATTGTGGTTTTCATTTGCATTTCTGTGATAACTGATGATGATGAGCAACTTTTCTTGTTCTCCTTGGCAATCTGTATGTCTTTGGTAAAAAGTCTTCTCTAGTGTTTTTGCTAGTTTTTTAAAATTATTATTAGATTGTTTTCTTACTTTCTAAGCTTTTTGAATAGAATTTGCCCCACGGTAAGAATCATGCCTTCCATTTTTTAGAATAGTTAGGAAAAGATCTTAGAGATCAAGTAGCTAAATTATCTCTGTCATAATAAAACTAAAGCCCTTGGAGTTTATTTCATTTGGTCACTTCCATTAAGCAAATATAGGAATAAGAGCCCAGTTTTCTTAATGTCCAGTTAGTTTTCCATTTATGTTGTCACCCCTCAATTCTGCCTAGTGGCTTAGTCGTACAAGGAATTTCTTAGCTTTTCTCTTGTTTGGTGTAAGTATATAGCTCTTAGTAAATACTCGCTATCTCCATTTGGTATAATTTGGTGTGTTGGTTCATTCCCTTGACAAATATGTTGCTGTGCTGGGTAATGGGGAAACCAGTTGTCCATACTTTTTTATCCCTGCTCTTCCATGCTCTTTCATGACTCAGCATATCAGTTGTGCCTACATTGTCTCCAGCTTCCTTTACCTTACCTTCAGCTTCTGTTCATTCTTTAGGCTGCAGCTTATGGTAGGCAGAACTCTATGGTCCACGGGATTCTCACCCCCTGGTGTATATATCATCGATAATCTCTTGAAGTTGATTATAGGAAGATGAGATTAGCTATGTGGACTTGACCTAATTACATGAACTCTTTAAGTCTGGCTCCAGAGTTGGAAACAAAGGGAGTAAGGGATTTGATGTGGGGTAGACTGTCTTTTGCGGATTTTAAAGATGGGGGATCACATTGCAAGGACTGTGGGCACTGTGTAGGAACAGTGGGCAACTTCTGGTGGACAGTCAAGAAGGAAAACTGGAACCTCAGTCAAATAACCACAAGGAACTGAATTTTGCCTGAATGAGCCTAGAAGGGGATTCTTCCTAGTCAGGCCTCTTGATGAGACGCACCCCATTGACACCTTAACTTCAGCTTTATGAGAAACCCTGAGCAGAGAACCTGGCCAGCACCTTGCATGGACCTCTGCCCTACAGAACTGTGAACTAATAAATGACTGTTGTTTTAAGCTGCTAAACTTGTGGTAATTTGTTATGCAGCAATAGAAAACTAATACAAGACTTAAATATCTCTTTTTCTGGAACACCTTTTCTGGCCCCTCAGGTGTGCTCCCCATGTCAGCCTAATAGATGCCCATAGCACTCTGAACTTCTCCTTTATAACACTCATATTAACTGACTTGTGTTATGTTCATAACTTTAACTCTAGAGATTAAATTATTTTTAATTTAATTTTTAACAATTTTAAATTATTTTTTATGTTTGAATTATTCTTTATATTTATACTCCAGTATATGGTAAGTATTAGCTCTTTAAAAAGTGTTAGAAGTGAATGCATAAAAACAAAACATAGTCCCTGGCTTCAGCAACTTTATAATTTAAAAGTGTTTGGCTATGTTGTGTGTGGGTACTTTTGTTTTTGTTTGTGTGTAGGGTATGTTTTGGTTTTGCTTTTGGTGGATAGGAGCATTCAATTTGTCAGTTTCCCAAGTGCAATTAAGCTAACCTGACTTCTTACCAAGGTCATTTGCCTTGCATCCTCATCAGGACTTGTATTAGACAATTCAAATCACTTTGACAGGAAGGGTTAATTCTTTTTAAAAAATTAAAAAATAAAAAATCAAGTGCACATGAAATGCTTGTGGACAAAGGCAGTGTTCTTTTATGAAATAATAACTTGATGATTTGCAGCACTCTGTTGATGGTCCTTCAGGGCATTGACCTTAAAGGGACACATGCTCTACCCTATTCTCTGCCAAGGGAACTGAATCCCATCTTGCCCTCAGTGCTCGGGGACAGAAGTTGGTTTTAGGAAAGGCATTTAATAAAGTTATTAGTTATTAGAGTTACTGACACACTAGAAAGCAGCTTTACCGTGCTATGTTGTATTGTAAGTATATCATTATCAGTAAATAAAAGTAAAGTTTGCGGAATTGCTGAACATGTAGCAGGAAAGCAATGCAGGAAATAATGGGACCCTCACAGGTAAAGATGGGATGCTGGGAGCTGCCATCCATTGTTAGGAACTGCCTAATAAGCCAAGAGTATAGTTTTAGATAACATGGGGTTCACTTTTCAGATTATGCTGCCAAAACAGTGTTATATATAAACAAGTCTAAATAGTTGATATATTAGTAATTGTGTGTAAGCTGAAGTACCTGTAATAGCCAGTCAGATTTAGGAAAGGAAACTTATTGTCTCATCCTATCCCAAATCATGAATTCACAAAGAAAATATTTTATATTTTATTTAAATTACATAATTTTAGATTACTGTGAAAGTGGATGATTTAATTAATAGAGTAATTGCTAAGTAAATACACATTTGCCATAAAATTAATGACAAAACCTCGAGATATATTTTTCATATCTTAATGTAATTATTTATTGCGTGAAACATGTAAATTACATAAATATAAACTGCTAATGCACCATTTTTCCTTTGGTAGTTTTTATAGTGAATCAGTGATTTGAATATTACCTACTGAAGCATGTTCTCTTATAGAAGCTCAAAAAATAAATCATTTTAGAATATATTTATTTTTGTATATGAGAAAAAATATCAGTTACAAAATGCTGTTATGTTAAGTTTTTATCATTAGTTTGGAAGATAAATATGTGCTGTGAAGGGTGTAGGATTTTGTTTACATAAACCTCAATTACATAAATTATTTTGTTTTTGGTTTTTTAAGATTGCCTTACATAAGTTTCTGATAATAAAATTTCTATTTTTATTCTTCATTCTTTTGTAGACCCAAATTGGTGGTTGGGGGAAGGGCATGGGTGCAAGGGTGAGTAGCTTTCTTTTTCAGTTTTCAGGTGACCTTTTCATTTTCATTTTCATTTTCATTAGTTCAGGAGAACAAAACTTGCCAAGCCAACAAAGGAAGCTACTGTTCTTAACAGAATTATCATGTCAGAGCCTGTGTCTTCTGCAAAATTTTGATAAGTTTTTCAAAACTTTTAGTTCAGATGTATTTTAATTGCTCATATTTTGTTGAGCTGTTTTCTTATTTTTCAGTTTTTAGAGTTCTTTATTATGAATGCAACTTTTCTGTCATATATGTGATTTGCAAATGTTTTCTCCAGTGTATGCCTTGAATTTTTATCCTCTTAACTGTGACTTCCTGAGAGCAAATATTTTTCATTTTGATAAAGTTTAATTTATTAACTTCATAGTTTGTGCTTTTGGTGTTATATCCAAGAACTCTGCCTAATCGACATATTTTCTTCTGTAAGTTTTAAAATACTGCATTTGGCAATTGGGCCTATAATCTCTTGATTTAATTTTTGTAGTAGGTGTTAATATAGATCAATGTTTATTTTTTGGCATGTGGCTGTCTAGGACCATTTATTGAAAAGATTTTATCTCCATTTAATTGCTTTTGTACTTTTGTCAAAAGTCAGTTGATCATATTTGCATGCATTTATTTATGGACTCTTTACTATGGGTATGTCTTTTTTTCCTCATACTACACTGCTTTGATTACTACAACTTTAAAGTAATTCTTGAAATTGCAGTGTAAGACTCCTTTTCTTTCAAAATTGCCTTGACTACTCTAATATCTTTGCCTTTCCATATTAATTTTAGGTTGTTTGAGTAGCTTTGTTTAAGGTATTTGTTTATAAATGGAGTCAATTCTCCTTCTGTCACTCAAGGCACTTATTTAGTCCCCAAAATAAGTTTCATCAAATAGTATAATTAATGAAGTCATTTGTTAGATATATCTTCCTTTTTTACTAGCCATAAATAAATTTAATAATTGGTTTAAATGTGTAAATCTTACAGTTATATGTATAGTCTGATACAGTATGATATTTTTGTGTTCAGATAATTTATCTTTTAATAGATTTTCCTGTTTCTCCTATTTTATGTGATTCTTTTCTAAGAAATGAAAATCTCATTTCTTCCCAGACTTTGTACCTTTATCACCTAGTTGTGATTAATCCAAATAGAGGACTATGAAAAAGAACATTAAATCGTCATGCTGTAGAAAATTTTTCTGAAGTAGGATCTTAGTAATACAGTTATAGAAGGGGAATGAATCCATTGTTACTGCTGTGATTTTTTTTTAATGTTATTTTCTAAGATGCAGCATATGTCCAGATGTTTATGAATAAACACATGTACATAAAGAATGATTGCTACCTCATTGTTGCTTGTTTAAACTGTGAGAGAATGTAGCGGTCCAAAGTGTAATAGCAAAGGAACCCTGACCTATGAGTCAGGCAAACTAGATTCTCGTCTATGTGTCCTTCAGTGGTTTAGCATCTCTGAGCCTTGCTTTTCTCATTTGTAAAATGAGGTAATTGAATTAGATGATCTCTTAAGACTATTTCTTTTCTTTATATTTTACTTTGACAACTCCGTGAACTATTCTATTTCTTTATGAATTATGTCACTTAAACTTAGGTTATTTCACAGCATGTGGGGCGGAGGGGCATGCTTCAGCAGATTTCAGCTTAGATTTCAGTTAATGTTCCTTTATCTTTTGTTATGTTTTTCTTTTCAGTAGGTAGTAACAAAATTGATTTGAATTTGTTCTCTAGGTGTCTTGTTTGTTCTTATACTTACCTCATACCACATTGTCTAGAAAACTCAAATACCTGGAAAGAGACAATCAGAGGCTATATAAAAGCCACCAATATGGCAGAAACTTTGGCCGCTTACTTAGTGTTCGTTCATTTTCCCCTTTCTTCTACTGGGCCGAGCTCTGATTTTGTTCGGGTATCTTATCCCCAACTTCACTCACTGGAAGATAATCCCATTCTCACCTCCAGGGGTAATCAAGTGGTTGATTTAGGCATAGCAAGTGACATAAGACAGGCCAATGAGAAGTGAAAGGAAGTTACACGGGTACCTTCTGGGCAGTTTTCTCACTGCTTAAAAATAGACACAGAAGAGAATTCCATTTCCAGTTCCACATGTAAGAAACTTGGAAGTCACCATTTAATCCTAACACAAGTAAAAAGCCGAACAGATAAAAAATTTTTCTTGAGGATCTATAAAAGAAGGGAGAACACAGGGCAAACCACTGCCCCCAGATTGGAGAGACACGGGCAAATACAGGGAGCCATTGTTTAACGAGAGCGGACTCATAAGTAGAAACTGCCTCAAGAATCAATGCTAGGATAGGAAAACCTGAACTATAATTGATGAATTGCTGGAGGTTCAGTATGGACAACTCTTGAGAGTTAAAAACGCCAGGGGACCCAGTCATAGGGAGGGCCTCCGCACCCAGTATTATCCAGGAGCTCTACCAGGCGCTCACAGTAAATATTAGAGAACACTCCCTTCATGCTTCCAGCAGAGGGATGAGAATAGGAGCCATTTGAAATATGCCAGAGAACTCTGTCCTTAACAGGGCCTGTCCTGAAGACGGATGGGAGTAGGGAGAGGCAAGTTAACCAGAGAGTAACCTACTGGAGTATATATTAGACCCTGACTGTTCTGGAAGAAGGGAGATGCCCAACTCCAGCCCACTCTAGCCATCCTGTCTCACGGTGGCAGGGAAGGGTACTGAAAACACTTGTGAAGTTCACAGACCAGAGGCATAGGCTCACAGAAAGAGACCTAATCATAGAATGTGATCTCTCTCACTCACAGAATGTGGTCTCTCTCACAAAATATCTTATTGTGCCATACTCATCTTTTTGGTTAAAGGAAGCACTTTACGGCTTCTCTTTGGAATATTTGAATTGCAGGCATCACCATTCTTACTTACCCTTTGGGGCCATTATTAAGTAAAATAAGGATTACTTGAACATAAGCACCATGATTCTGTCACAGTTGATCTGATAGTGGAGACAGCTACTAACTGACTAACGGGGAGCGTAACTACAATGGACAAAGGGATGATTCAGTCCCAGGCGGGACAACACAAGATATCATCATGCTACTCAGAATAGCATGCAATTTACAATTTATGAACTGTTTATTTCTGGAATTTTCCATTTGTTTTTGAACCATAGTTGACCATGGGTAACTGAAACTGGAAAGCAAGTCCATGGATAATGGGGTACTACTATACAGATCACAACCTGGACTAACTATTGGTATCTGAAAAGGGGAGTGGCAGCCTTGTAGGACTGAATCTTTAATCTGTGGGATCTGATGCTATCTTCTGGTAGATAGTGTCAGACTTAGGCTGAATTGTAAGACACCCAGCTGGTATTGGAGAGTTGCTTAGATGGGGGAGGGAGAACCCCCCACACATTAGAATTGGATGCAGAATGCTTACATAGTATTTCATTATTTGGATGGACAACTAGAAGACTTTTCATCTGTTAATATCCATAACTTGTAGTTGATAAGCTTGTCAAAGTCTGACAGAAGAAATAATAAAAAGTGATCTTTAAGCATTTTACTGTAACAAGTGTATTTATCAGGCATTTTTTTAAATTGGGCCAAGACTTTTTTGTTGACAATGTGGAGTCCACTGACAGGAGTTCAGTGTTAATCTTCCTTGTGTAGACCATACCCCAATACATTATCTGTAACTCCTATTTTGAGTTTAAATGATGGGAGAATTGAGACACTTCACAGTCAAACTTTCGCCCAGACCTTTTTCCTTATGTTTACTGTTTGCATTAGTTTTTTCATCATCTTGGCTATACCCAATTCAACAGTACTTTTTTTTGGTAGCTTGCCTTTTTTAACCCTTTATATAATATTCAGTATAGTGATAATGGAAACAATTTGCTTTTTTGCTTTTTTCATTTCTATTTCATCAGTTTAATATTAAATCACTTAATTATGATTGCAGGTACAATTGGCACAAACAGTTGTGGTAACAAACACATCTTACTCTTGATAAACCTACATCCAGTGGTGGGAACGAAAGTACATAGTTTTATCAGTAGTAGCCAAATGGTCAAAATACATGTGTGTGTAAAAGTCATCATTAGAAACAGAGAATATTGATTTATCATGTAAGTCAGTTAAAGTTTGGTTAAGTGAACATTGGTTAACAGCGCTTCTTGTGTTTCATAATTTTAGATAACCACTCCCCTATTGGTGTGCATTTAAATTGTTTCCAGCATTTTGCTTCTTCCTTTGATGATCAATAAATATTCTTAATCATTTTGTTTGTACACACATAATGATATTCCGCAAAATAAGATTAGCATATATAAGGAGATAGGGATTTTTCATTTAATAAATTTTACTGAACGGAATTATAAATATATTGTTGCTTGAGTTTCAATATTTAACTATAATAAAGTAAAATATAAGGTAAAAAAAATTTTTAATTGACCAGTTTGTTCCCTTTTTCCCCTTTGAATTTGCTTCTTAGAGAAGGGAAACTACATTTGTGAGTCATAAAATACATTGAAAGAATTCAAGGCACTGAGTCAGAATTCCAGACATTTCTCACACATAAATGACTCACTTTATGTGTGTGCTATGTGTGTGATTTATCCTGTGTAATAGATATGTTTCTTAATTGAGTAGGTCTGATGACATTTAAACACTCTGGGGAAGTTTGCTGTTTAGTGATTAGCACCGAAAAGCCGTAAGCCAAGGATCCTTTTATTAAAATGACTAAATTAGGACTCAGCTTTCAATAAGTCTGATATTTTAGTGGTTCTGTTTTAGCTTTTTCAATGACTATTTATTGAATAATTTCTGTGCAAAGAATTCTGTTTGCTGTGGTATGTGTTGGAATAAAAATCATGGTCTTGTGAAAGTCCACTGTGGTTAGAGAGACAGGAACTCTTGCGTGCTGAACAATATTAATAGCCACTAGATCAACCTCCGTTTACTGGAACACCTGTTACTATTATAAGAATAAAAACAGTATCACAAATATGTTAAAGTTATATGAAGAAACGTACGAAGAGCCAGTGATAATTGTGTCACACATCTTTATAATACTGTTATGTACTATAACTAAGCCTTTTTTGATTGCCTATGAATATTTTAAACCCTTCTTCTGAATAGCAGTTTTTTTCCAAATTTATTCTCAGTTGTCTATCCTTCCTTAGAGCAATTGGAGTACTGCCAAAATAGAAAATCATTACAATGTGAAATAATTTTTTTTCATTTTTTTAAATCTTGAAAGCTATAATACTCTAATGTGGTAGGAGACCACAAAATACAATACTTATTCTTAAAGTTTAACTTTTAGACTGTTAAGATAAATTGGGGTCAAGTTGATGGGGTAACTCTGCTCTATAAGATCTTTCAGGATCTTGTTTCTTGACATTCTTCTGGGATATTGGCCTACCTCTGCATGGTCAAAATTGGCTCCTACCACAAAATTTTGCATCTGCTTTCCAGCCTGTGGGAAGTGGGAAAGCATTGGTCCATTTTCTAAGGTGGTTGTCTTTTTAATTGAAGATGACCTTAAAGTTGTGCCATTCACTTCCACTTACATACCATTAGTCCACACCAAGTAACAAAACTTCAAGGAAGCTAGGAGTGTATTCTCTTGCTAGGTGGGTAAATAACCAGCTAAAACTTTATTCCCGTGGATGAAGGGGAAAATGGACAATTGAAACAACTAACAATCTGTTACAAAAGCCTATGTCGAAAAAAAATTGAACGTAAGTTTCAAAATAAATATTTCTAAATGTATAGCTTTCTCAGATGCAGCCAAGTCAGCAACACTCTGTTGTAATTTTAGATGAGGTGTAAATATGAATTAATCTCAGAATGCGACTTTACCCTAAGATCTTGCTTTTCAAACTGGAGAACATTGTTGCTTGAAGGGAGGAAGTGTACGAAGCCATGCATTAGATGTAGCTTCTCTTCCTAGAGGAAGATTTGGAAGACAATGCATTTTTGGTATTTACAAAGCTAAGAATATATTTTAGAGCCAAAAACAAAATTGCCAGGAATGTTAAGAAAAATCTTAAGATTGTGTTAAGGGATACTTTTAAACCCCGAGAGATATTTCTTCTTTTTGCCACTGTGGATACTCCTGCAGAAACATTTTAATAAGCAAACATTTTGGTTTAAGGTTTGTTTTGTTAGCGAGGCCAGGAACTCTAAACTGTAAAATTATGGAAAGATATTAGCGTGGGGAAGGGGTGGTAGTGTGGAGTAAAGGAAATTTTCCTATTTATATCAGCAGCCTGTGTATCTTTATTCAAAGAAAGTCTGAGAAGCTATTTCTTTGCCTCTTAAATTTTTCTTTTAGTCTTTGCTGCACTTTATATCACTTTTAAAGTCTTTTTTTTTTTTTTAAGGTTTGTCTTCCCCTAGCAAGGAAATACTCTATTAATGAGACGTATAGACTAGAATAGAACTGTGGTAGTAAGCTGATAGTTATGTGGTTTTCTTCATTTAAAGTACATTAACTTTATATTAAAACTTATGTTCCACCTTTCCTTCTTATCACAGGACAGTGAAAAGAGAACTCCACTACATGCTGCTGCCTATCTTGGAGATGCAGAAATTATTGAACTGCTTATTTTATCTGGTATGGTAAGCTCTGTATAATAAGAGCACATCATGCATATTTTTTGTCATAACTAATATTTGTCAAACGTAATTGACTTTCTTCATATTTGTTTAATTTTTATTCGTTCTACAAATACTGATCTCATTCATGTGCTGGCTACTGTTCCAGAGGTTAGTGTACATGAGAGAACAAAACAAAGATAACTGCCCTTGTGGAATGTATGTCCTAAAAAAGAAAAACAGGCCATAAATACAAATAATTTTATAATATGTTAGAAGGTAATAAGTGCTATAGAAAAATGAAAAAGTAGATCAGAATAATGGAGTGGGATGAACATTATATAGTGTAGGATATTATATAGAGTATTCATAGTAGGCCTCATTGACCACAGAGTTACTAAGAGACGATTATGATTCTCCAAGGGGGAGGCAATGATGGCTTGGTCTAAGTACAGCAGTGGAGGTGGTAAGAAATGGTATGATGATAGATATATTTTGAAAGTGATGCCGGCAAGTTTTGTCTTTAAATGGCTTTATCTAATTCTATCTGAGGGTCTGTAGAACGCATTTTAGGGAACTGTTCTTTTATTTTTTAATTTCTTCTAAACTTTTAATTTCTTCTAAACTGTTTAAGACTTTACAATATGAAATAGCCATCTTTTATAGAGTAGCTCCTATTGTGGTCAAGTTTTAGGACTACAGGACTACTGCTTGTAGTCCTAAAACAGACAGTCAAACATTGCTTAGAAATATTTTTGTTGTAGCCAGATTATTATAAATGATATTTACTGAGAAAGGATACATGGGTTTGAATGTTGCTTGTGTTGCCAGATTGCACAGATACATGCATAATGCTATTGGAGAAATAGTATTATTCCTTTGATATTTGGGAGGAGCGCTGAGAAAAATTTTGAATGATGATCCTATTGAATAGTAGCCTAAACAGAATTTTTCCATTATAAATTCATAAAATTCTTCCAGTCTGGTTTTTATAACAAATTGCATGATGATATAGAAATAAATATAGTTATATATGGACTTGATAAATTTGTTTGTGAATAACTTCATCACTGATGCACTTCTCTGAAGATGTCTGTTCCTCTGTGGATGCTAGTTCACTGGTTTTCAGCTGAAATTTACTAAAGCTAAGAACTGAGGAGGGTCAAGAGAAAAATAGTATTTCTTCTTAATTGAAGCATCTTCTGCTTAAATCATATGAATTAATGGGATACAGGTCTATATATGGAATTTTTTTTACAAACATTGTCCAAGAACCAGTTTCCTGTTTTTTTTGTTAAAAAATAGCTATCTAGAAACAGTTTAATTAGTTTAATGTCTAGGACTTTCAGTAAGAACTCTACTGCTGTATTTTTTCATTTTAACACAGAATTCTATCATTTACTTTCATTTTTAACAAAAAGATTTTACAACTCAATATGGAGGGTTTTCCCCCCATTTTGAATTTTTATACCTAAAAGAAACTTTTCAAATGTTCAAAGTTTGACTTAATCCCTCTTATTTAATGTGAATGTTTGCATTGGAGATTTTCAGTTAGAGATGGTTGACGTCCTGGTAGTTGTAAGTATGATGGTCAAATGAGCCTTATGAGTGCGATAGGATCAGATGTCAGCTTTGAAATAAACATTTTAGAGAAAGCATAATTTCTTTTGAATAATTAAATAAAAATCATGTATAAAATAAACCATTATACATGTATTAAAGCTATTTCAAACCTTCTTTGAAAAATTCTTTCAATATTGTATTTTATGTTTCATGAGCAGCTCATGCAACTATTTTTAAAAGGAGAAATAAAGTTCTAAATTAATTTATTTACAGTTCTCAGAATTTAAAAAATAAGTTTTTACTTGTCATTCTCTCTCTACTAGAGTATAAACTCCTATAAGGCAAGGATCTAGTAGGCTTTGATTCCTAACATATTCATTCCCAGTACCTAGAATACTGTTGAATACATAATAGGTTCTGAGTGACTACTTGCTGAATGAATGTATGATTATAGCAATGTAAGTTTAAGCTCTGTCTCCTTTTCAAAAATTTGTTCACATTTTGGTCTCAGTTTCTCAAGTTTTTAGTGGAAGTAAAAATGGGAGAGGTGGGCATGAGAAGAGTGGGGTTGAAAGCAGTTAGGTAAGTAGAAAAGGAAAGAAGGCAAATGATTTGTTTCCTTTGAATGCAAATTAAACTCTTTCTTAGACTTGTTTCTCTTTAGACTATCTCTTTAGGCTCTAACTGACTTGGATTTGGAGTAAAAAGAGCTGAAAAGAAATCTGAGGCTAGATTTCTAAACTAGAACCTCAGTTTTCCATTTAAAAATGAAAAATAAACCAGGCTCTGTGTTGCCATGCGAGGCATAGCAGATAGTGAATGTTAAAGAGCATGGGTTCTGTGGCCAGACAGATTTGGATGCAAATCCTGGCTCCATCTCTTAACCACCTCTGTGAACTTTGGGAAGTTATTCAATCTCTCAACAAATTGTAGTCCCCGTCCACCTCCCCGCCACCCCGCTACCCCCAACAACAACAAAAAAACAGCCTTTAAAGCTATACATAAGTGTCTTACTTAACAGGGCCCTCAGTAGCGGAGCAAATAATAAAGGTTTGTGTAATTTATGGATAACAGTGCTCTAACAAGAAGATAGGGAGTAATCAGGAATGTGTTCCTAACTTTTAAAGTTGACGCTATACAGGATGATTGTCGTGGCCTTCTATAAAAATACTCCTTTACATAATTGAAGAAGACCTGTATAGTATCTTTATGTATATGAAATTGCTCATGTTGATTTTTATAAAAATAATCATTTTAAAATATTTCAGTTTGTTATATCAATTTGAAATTCTCATTAACTCTTTGAAATAAGAAATCTGAACAAATCATTTACTAGTAAGGAGATTAAATTTGTAATGGAAAACCTCCCAACAAAATAAAGTCTAGGACGGATGGCTTCACTGGTGAATTCCACCAGGTTTTAAAGAAAATACTAATTCTTCCTCAAACTCTTCCAAAAAGAATAGAAGAAGGAGCACTTACAAACTTTTTTACAAAGCCAGCATTGCCTTGATAACAAAATCACTCAAAGACACTACAAGAAAAGAAGATTGTAGGCCAGTATTGATGAATACAGATGCAAAGATTCTCAACAAAATATTAGCAAACTGAATTTAGCAGTACACTAAAAAAATCATACACCATGATTAAGTGGAATTTATTCCAAGGATGCAAAAATGGGTTCAACATCCACAAATCAGTCAGTGAAATACACCACATTAACAAAATGAAGACTAAAGATCATATGATCATCTCCATAGATACAAAAAAAGCACTTGACAAAATTCAACATCCGTTTCATAATAACTTACAACAAATGAGTACAGAGGGAACATAACACAATAAAGGCCATGTACAAGAAACCCACAGCTAATATACTCCAAGTTGAAAAGCTGAAAGCTTTTTCTCTAAAATCAGTAGCAAGCCCACCGTCATCGCTTTTATTCAACATAGTTCTAGAGGTACTAGCCAGAACAGTTGTTCAAGACAAAGAAATTAAAGGTGTTCAAAATGGAAAGGAAGAAGCAAAGCTGTTTCTATTTGCAGATGACATGATATTATATATATATATAAATGTAAAGACATCACCAAAAAACTGTTAGAACTAATAAATTCAGTAAAGTTGCAGGATACAAAATCAACAAAAAAATCTTGCATTTCTATATTCTAATAACAAACTATCAGAAAGAGAAATTAAGAAAACAGTATCATTTACAATTGCATCAAAAAGTAAAATATCTAGGAATAAGTTTAATCAAGGAGGTGAAAGAACTGTATACTGAAATCTGCAAGACACTGATGAAAAATATTAAAGAAGACAAGTAATGGAAAAATATTTCATGCTCGTGGATTGGAAGAATTAACATCGTTAAAAGGTTTATGCTACTCAAAGCAGTCTATGGATTCGGTGCAATTCCTGTCAAAACTCCAGTGGCATTCTTCATAGAAATAGAAGAAACAATCCTGAAGTTTGTGTGGACCCACAAAGATCCCAAAGAGTCAAAACAATCTTCAGAAAGAGCAACGGAACTGGAGCATCATGTCTCCTGATATCAAACTATATTATAAACCTGTAGTAACCCAAGCAGTATGATATTGGCATAAATACAGACACATGGATCACTAGATCTAAAAAAGAGCCCAGAAATAAACCCACACATATATGGTCAATTTATGACAAAGGAGCCAAGAATATACATGGGGAAAGGACAGTTTCTTCAATAAATGGTGCTGGGAAAACTGGACAGTCACTTACAAAAGAATGAAAATGGACCACTATCTTACAAGCAGAACTACATCAAACTAAAAAACTTCCGAAAAGCAAGGGAAAGCAACGAAAAGAAAAGGCAATCTACAGAATGGGAGAAAATATTTATTTACAAGCCGTATATCTAATAAGGGGTTGATATACAAAATATATAAAGAACTCATACAACTCAATAGCAAGATTTAAAAATCTGATTAAAAATTGGGCAAAAGAACCAAATAAACATTTTTAAAAGAAGACATAAATATGACCAACAAGTACATGAAAAGTTGTTTAGTATCACTAATCATCAGGGAAATGCAAAGCAAAACCACAATAAGATTTCACCTCACACTTGTTAAAATGGCTGTCATAAAAAAGGCAAGAGATAACTAGTATTGTAATGGATGTGGAGAAAAGTGAACACAGAAATTCTTGTGCACTGTTGGTGGAAATGTAAATTGATACAGCCCCCATAGAAAACAGTATGGAAATTCCTCAAAAAATTAAAAATGGAACTACCATATGATCCAGTAATTCTACTTCTGGCTATATATCCAAGGAAATGAAATCACAATCTCAAAGAAATAAACTCCCATGTTTATTGCAGCATTATTCACAATAGTCAAAACATGAAAACAACCTAAGTGTGCACGCATGTGCGTGCACACACACATCAGAATATTCAGCCATAAAAAAGAAGGAAGTCA